CCAGACTCCCCAGCCCAGGCCCGGGAAAACCGGTCCAAGCCAGTCTGCCCAGCCCATTGCACCCTACTGGAGAATGGGAGAGGTTCAGTTCGTTGTATTTTCCGTCATCTTTGAACATCTTTGAACTTTGAATGAAGGCTTAATCCTTGAAAATTTCAGCAAAAAACCATTTTGGGACGAGAGCTAAGGGCATGTTTATATAGTGTCGAAAAATATTTTCACATTAAATAATTCCCTTGTGTGGGTAGTTGCGACACATTTACACTTAACCACATGAGTGAAAGTTGAAAATAGGCGACATCTAACCACATAAGAGAATTCTTTCATGAAAAATATTTTCCAAACAAAACAAACATGCCCTAAGAAACAAGCAAACGAAATCCATCTTTGGGAAGGCAGCTAAAATCAAGCAAAGGGTTTGAACACCTTGATTGAGTGTCCATTGTCCTGACATTCCAAAACTCCTTTGGTTTTTCAGGGATTTTTGTCCATTTCTTCTCACTATTACAATAATAATAATAAATAAATAAAACCTTATCACCGTCAAAATTCTGAACTGAAAACTCCTGAAGAAGAGATGAACATTCGGGGAACGTGGATATTACACTTCGGGTGGAAAAGAAAAAGTTATTTATTAGTTACGGTACGCATATCTACATGTGCAAGAATAAAAGGTGTGGTTTCTATAAAGTTGCAACTTTAAACAATCCGGTTAAAACGCATCTCTAAATTTCATCATAACATTTTGGGCCAGTTTAGATGTCAAATAAAAAAACCTTCACATTGAAAAAAATCATAATTTTCTTCATCCTTAATTAATAAAGGATTGCTTTCTTTTTTTTATTATTATGATGGACTGTTTAGATGGAGTTAACATAGTCGCATTCTACCCTTCCAAAATTTCAAAATTTGCTTTAAATTTTATAATTAAAGATGGAGTTAACATAGTGGCATTCTACCCTTCCAAAACTTCAAAATTCACTTTAAATTTTATAATTAAAAATAAAAATATACTTTAAGGCATTGGCATGGCAAAGAGAGAAAGGGAGGCAGCCTAGGGCTATGGATGGGGGGATGGGACTTGAGCTTCTCTGATTTTTTTTTGCAACCGAGCTTCTGCTTATTCATGGTTCTTATTCATAGTTTTTTTGTAACCCGAGCTTCTGCTTATTTATGAGAAGCATTCATGGGTTTTTTGTAACCATGAGCTTCTCCTTATTCATGAGAAGTCCATGGGTGTGATATGAGAAAAAAGAATTCGGTTTTTTTAGAGAGAGAAAACAAAAATGATATAGTGCTAGTTTGGATGTACCCAAAATTGTATTTTTGGATTGCAATACCCAAAATTGTGTTTTGGATTATAATTCAAAAAATTCTATTTTTGGATTGTAATTCAAACTGATTTTTTGCAAACCGTGCTTTTTATGATTTTTTTGTAACCCGAGCTTCTCCTTATTCATGGTTTTTTTGTAACCCAAGCTTCTCTTTGTTCATGGTTTTTTTGTAACCCGAGCTTCTCTTTATTCATGAGAAGTCTATGGGTGTAGTATGAGAGAAAAGACTTGGGCTTTTTTAGAGAGAGAAAATGAAAATGATATGGTGTCAGTTTGGATGTACCCAAAATTGTATTTTTGGATTGCAATTCAAAAAATTGTAGTTTTGGATAATTCAAAAATATTGTGAAATAAATTTAAACAGTTTGGATAACCTCAATATTTGAATTTTTTTTATGAAAGTGCAGCTCTCTCAATTGTATTTTTGTATTTTTGGATTATAATTCAAAAATATTGTGAAACAAATTGGAATCATTTGGACACCCTCAAGATTTTCTTAGACTTAGAATTTTTTTTATGAAAGTGCAGCTCTCTTCATGAGTAAAAAATCCCATTGAAAGCCCCTTCTCTTCATTTCTCTCATACATGAATAAGAAGAAGCTCGGGTTGCGAATAAGAAGAAGCTCATGTTGCAAAAAACTAGAAGCCCCATCCATGGGGGCTAGGCAGCCCAAGCTTGTAAATAGAGCCTCAAGGAGAAACTTGAGTTGCAAATAGTGCAACAAAAAAAACCAAAGAAGCTCAAGCCTCATCCATGAAGGCCTTAGGATACGTCTTTGTAAAGCCAACGCCCTTTATCTCTCTTTCTCTTTCTCTACCTCTACCTCTTTCTATAAAAAGGCAAACCCATGGGAAGCCCCTTTTCTTCATGAATGAGGAGATTCATGAAGAACCTCAAATTACAAAGGCATGTTTTTTCTCTCATACCACACCCATGCGAAACCCCTTCTTTTCATGAATGAGATTCTCTCATACCACACCCATGAAAAGCCCTTTCTCTTCATGAATGAGGAGATTCATGAAGAAGCTCGGGTTACAAAAAAAACCAGACAAGCTGAAGCCTCATCCATCCACCCATTGGAAGCCCCTTCTCTTCACACCTAAGAAACCCCCTTCTAAAAGGGAAACCCCTTCTCTTCATGAATGAGATTCTCTCATACCACACCCATGGGAAGCCCTTTCTCTTCATGAATGAGTAGATTCATGAAGAAGCTCCGGTTGCAAAAAAAATCAGACAAGCTCAAGCCTCATCCATCACACCCATGGGAAGCCCCTTCATTTGACACCTATGGAAACCCCTTTCTCTTCATGAATAACGAGAAGGGAAGCCCCTTCTCTTCACACCTACGGAACCCTACAAAAAAAACCAAGCTCAAGCCCCTTCGCTTCATTTACAGGTTGCAAAAAAAACCAGACAAGCTCAAGCCCCCTTCTCTTCATTCACAAGATCGCAAAAAAAACCAGACAAGCTCAAGCCCCCTTCTGTTCATTCACATGTTGCAAAAAGAACACGACAAGCTCAAGCCCCCTTCCCCTTCTCTTCATTCACAGGTTAAAAAAAAAAAAGACCTTCTCTTCGTGAATACGGGTTGCAGCTTTGTTTATTGTATGGAACCCCTCTTCATGAGAATACAGGTTGCAGCTTTGTCACCCCTTCTCTTCAAAAGGCAAGCTCATACCACATCCCATCCATGAGAATGTGAACCCCTCCTCTTCATGAATACGGGGCTGGGGCTTTGCTTATTGTATAGAACCCATTGTACAGAACCCTTCTCTTCAAAAGACAAGCTCATACCACACCCATGGGAACCCCTTCTCGAACCCTTCTCTTCATGAATCTCAGGTTGCGGCCTATGAATACGGGTAAGCAAAGCACTCTTTCTCTTCATGAAGTTTCCCTTCTCAGCAGCACCCGTTCTCTTCATGAAGTTTTTGTAAGGCCAAGGCTTTTTCTCTCCTTACAAAGAGGGGACCTCATACCACACCCATGCGAGCCCCTTCGGGTTCATACCACACCTATGGAACCCCTTCTCCTTCTCCTCCTTCTCTTCATGAATACGGGGCTTTGCTTATTGAATGGAACAGGGTTCGCACCACACTTATGGGAACCCTTCTCTTCATGAATACGGGTTGGAGCTTTGCTTGATGTATGGAATCCCCTTCTCTTCATGAATATGGGTTGGAGCTTTGCTTATGGTATGGAATCCCCTTCTCTTCAGGAATACGGGTTGGAGCTTTGCTTATTGTATATTGTATAGAATCCCTTCGTGTTGCATTGGAGTGACTTTGACACTGATGTATTTTTTATTTCAATCTAAAAATTTAACAAAATATTTGTTTATGGTAACTTACATTTTTTTAAGGTAGCTTTAACACTGCTATATTTTTTATTTCAATCTAAAAATCTAACAAAATTTTGAGGTTATAATCTAAATTGAATTTTTTTTTTACAGTAACTTAAATTTTTTTTATTTTTTATATCAATTTAAAAATCTAACAAAATCTAGGTTGTCGGAACGGTTCAAATTTGTTTCACAATATTTTTGAATTGTGATCCAAAAATATTGGATTTTAAATTCAATCTAAAAATCTAACATTTTTTATATCAATTTAAAAATCTAACAAAATCTAGGCTGTCCGAATGGTTCATATTTGTTTCACAATATTTTTGAATTGTGATCCAAAAATATTGAATTTTAAATTCAATATAAAAATCTAACAAAATCTTGAAGTTGTCCAAATGGTTCAAATATGTTTCACAACATTTAGGATTTTTGAATTGCAATCCAAAAATATTAGAATTTTGGATATCCAAACTTAATCGCCGAGTACTCGACCATGCGCTAACTTCGTCAGGGTAGTGCCGAGTATTATAGCAGCAAAAAGTTGTTAAAAAATTTTTAAAAATAAAATTAATCAAAATATATTAATGATGTTAAAAAAGTAGTAAAGAAATAGATTTAAAAAATCTATTTTGACCAAGGGTATTTTCAACTTAATCTAAAAAAGATGAAAAAAATTAAAAAAAAATAAGTATTCCCGACCAAAACAATTTAAGCAAAAATCACTTTTTTGTGCCAAAATCACTTTCCGCCACCAAAATGATAGAAAACACTATTAAAAAAAAAAAACATCTCACATAAATTTCTTATATCTTTAGAATTTTTATTTTTTATTTTTTATTTTGTTTTAATTTCGGGTACACCCAACTCCGAGAACCTTGGGCTCGCCCTGGCCCGACTACTCTGAACATGGTTCCTTTACTTCTATGGTATGGATCTAGGGATCGCTGAGGGACAGATAAACTCTCAGATAGTCGGATGAATGAATCACCGTTGTCCTATCTCCACCAATAGGAGAGCCACTTCCGGTCTCCCGTCATGGAACTCTTGAATTTCTAGTTACTTCCGGTCTTCCTTCATGTAACTCTTGAATTTCTAGTTTTTTTCAGTAAAAAGTTAATAGCATAGAGCCAGAAATTTTCAGAAATACCAATCCATTTAGAACTATCAATTTTCCTTTCATTGTACTACATGACAAAATTAAAATCCAGATGTGAATTGAAGACGTCAAACGATGAGAGAACCCAGCGTCTTAAGTATCAAATTTTGGGTTTTGGATGGATCTTAGGGTGCAAAGAAATAAAGGAGTGAGACAGAGAGATACCTGGATCTTGCGTTTTTTGGCTTCGTTTTCAGCCCTTTTGGCAAGATCTGCAACCATCCTGAACCTCCTCCTCGGATTCTTGACCACTGAAACTGCTTTGCGCCATCTCCTCAGAGCTTCCTCTGATGAGTTCTTCGGCTGCAATTCGAAGTTGTCCTTCAGATACTTCTCCATCATCCAATGCACTTTTTCCCTCTCTGATTCTACTTAATCTTCTAAAAAAGGGCAAAAACACAGAGCAGGAGTAGCGCGCAGATATAGAGAATGAGACGAAGAGAGAGAGGCAGGAACAAATAGCAAGGGAGAGAGTCTAATCTAATTAGAGGGCTTGAATAGAAGCGTTAATGGCGGATGCGCCACTGGAACAAGGGAGAGAGTCTGATCTAATTAGAGGGCTTGAATAGAAGCGTTAATCGCGGATGCGCCACTGGAACTAGGTGGAATGATGTTTCCATAGAAGATTTCGGAAGAGAAAGGAGAGAGACCTAGGGACAGCGTATCCGATTTTGTGCATCCCATCCGTCCTTCAAAACGCAATAAAAGGATCTGTAACCGAAAGGCCAGGTCCTCCTTTACACCATCCCCTATAAAGATAGGCGAGGTTTATATAAGGTTGCCTACTTATACTATAGAAGTAAGGCTCATCTATAAAATTTATTTAAAGATATTATTTCGGAGTTTAAAACTTTACGATGGTTTCAAAATCTTTTTCTATCTTTATATATAAAATATAAAATTACCAAAATATATTAAAAAATTTAAAAAATAGACGGTCTAGATAATTTGTTACAACAAACACTATTTTTCAAACTTGAAATTCTTGTTTTCTTTATGTGCATTCATCTTCAGGTCGAGATGATCAATGGGAGGGCCTCCGAGATATTTCTCTACTATCGTATTTTTAAGTTGCACCTTACTTCAACAATGTAAAGTTGCATCCTTATCTTATTTATTATTTTTTTCCTCCCTCTATTTATGCCAACGAAATACCCGCCGAAGATGTACTGCCCTGCCGTGTTTAAAATTTTTAATGACCACGGATCCAAATTCGGTAAGTACAAGAAGGGTGGTGTTTGTATAGAGCCGAGGCTCTAAACAATCAACGTAAAAAGCACCTTCAAATAGTATGATTTTAATGCTGAATATATTTGTAATAGTTTTAAAATATATTTTTTATATTTAATTATAAAATTTAAAGCTTCAAAAATAGTCTAAATCGAATAGGACTATAAATACTTGAAAATCTTAAAAATTTACAATCTAAAAAAATGTTACAAGATGCCCATTTTTTAAAACTTGAAATCTATTTTTTTTCCCATGTCCATGCATCTTGATGTCGAGATGACCAATTTGAGAATATTTGAGTATCAAAACAATATCTTCAATTGAAATTTTTGAGGTGGGTTCTAATTTGATTGTTTAGAACCTCGGCTCTATACAAACGTTTTCCATATAAGGAATGGTGACTTATCGAACGGCTAAGATGAGAAAACGAGGACGGAGAGGAATTTTTATTTAAAAATTCCTCGAAAACGTTAAAGAAGGATAGGCAATTGTGCTTATTAGATAGGCAGTAACTTTTTTTATTAGCTTTGGAGGGCCCTCGTAATTAGAGATCCGTGGGACGGTTGCTACGGATAAAACAACCCTTGTACTTGTTTGTCTCTTGTGAATAATCAAGTTTGCTAAGAAGCAACCTCTTTGAAATCTATATGGCAGTGATCTACTGTTTTTGGTTGGATCTTGATTACAAAAGTTGCAATATTTTGAAAAAGGGATTATGTGTTACTTCAAGTTAAGTTAAACTTCCAATTTTACAGGTTTACCCAATAAAGATACAAAACTGTCCTAACTAAAATTTAGGATGCATTCAAGTACTAAAACATAATGTTGTGTTTATATTTTATAAAGTTCATGGTCATTATCATTTCCTCCAATATCACAGCTTTGTGCATATCTTATAGTATTTTATGTTCATCCCAAGACTGTAGGATATGACTTTACAAATAAAGAAAAAAAAGAAGAAGAAATATATATAAAAAAAAAGAGTGATAAAAATTTATGTGCGCACTCCTTATCTAGAGCAGTATGAACCAGATATTACTTGGGATTCTTTGTAAAATAATATGGTGAGATTCATGATTCACAATGCTTTAGGAGAATTCTTTGAAGGGCCTGGTAGTTTCTTCTCAAAGTATATCCCAACCAGAACAGAAAGGGGTTTATTGAATCTCTTATTGAAATCCCCAGTGGGCTTCCTCATCCAAAGAAATATATACTTCTTCTGTAAAAACATCATGAAAATACCAAATTAACTGCAGTGCTATCAAATCCAAGTTGGAGACTCCAGATATTGGGGGCTTTGATGCACTATGTGGCTGCAATGCGGATGCATCACTTCTGATGTCGATAATAACTAAAAATAAATAACATTAAAAGGTAAACATCAGATTCCTCAGTAGAATCCCATTTTATTGGATAAATAGACATACAAATTAAATACAGAAAAATAATTTGTTTTGTTTTGGGCCTATTAAACCTCAAATTTCCCATGGGTTCATTTGGTTAAATTTATCTTGATTGAGTTACTCTTTGCGCTAAGCTTGCATGGTATATTTAATTATTCATGGCCGTATGTATTGAAGTATTTGGGCTTCTTTTGTTTTGATGTTAAATACTGATGAAGACTGGACTCTAGTGTTTTCTCAAAATACTATTATTTCAAAGAATCATCAATTGTAATTGAGATATATATATGATATCATTTGTAAAGTATGCGTTTGATGATGATGATGAAAACATAGAAACATAACGACAAAAAATAAAAAAAAAATAGTGCTTAGCCTAATTATTTCTTCACATCAAAGTGTTTCTTTTGTGTGCTTGTAAAATTGAATGATCGTAAATACATGTCTATGAATTTTATTGGAGAGCTTTTTTTCCTATGGGAATGGAATCCCAACAATTTTCCTCTCCTCAACCTTCATCTAATGCCACAGAAGTTGAAGCTAGGAGAAAGGGCATCGTGAGAGCAAGCAAACAATGGGGATAATGCAGATATACCTTTTATCCAAAGTCCTCAGGATCATAATGAAGGCGTCGTATTGCGAGATGTAATTACAGCACAAATGTGACATAACTACCGACATAATTAAATTGCTATGTTTAAATTCTGTTTGTTTTTTCTTCTTGGTTATATAACTATTTAGTGTTTTATAATAGGTCTCCCTTATTAGGCTTTTTCTTTATTACCCTATTACATTCTTTCTTTTCTACTCTATCGTGAATTATTGCTTTTTTTAATTTTATATTTAGGTTAATATTTGAAGAACTTATATGTGGTGGATTTATAAATTTATATGGATATACTAAATATTATGTGATTTTGTCGCTGTAGGTAGTTGTGTGGCTACCCTCGTTATGCATTACTAATTGTTATTTTAACTTGTCTTAGAGATTAAATATCTAATGTGCTTTATTTTCAAATAAAGAGAAAAACTTGCACCAACATGATATGGTCATGATTAAAAAAAATCCAAATAAATTAAATTATGTATAGTTCATATAACAAATTTAACCTTTTTAGCTTTAGTTTTCATGATCTAAAATACACATTTTGTTTAATATATGGTGGATGCTAGTTGATTTTAAGATCTCTGCCATTTTAGACAAATATCACTATGTCATGAAGAAATCTTTAATACACAGTTAAAACTGGCTCATTCCAGGTCTCCCAAATTCCAATTCCCATAATCAATCAAACACAGGTTCCCAGACTTCCAAGTAGGTTATCATACACAGTCTTTATTGTTTCCAGACAGCACAATATCCAACTTCAGGATTCTAGAAAACCCAATCTCTAGAGAACTTCCAGTTTCCAGTTATCAAACAGTCCCTTAGGGAGTGCGATGCCATTTTCTTTACAAAATCATCGAGACGGCCCACTCAAATCTCCTCTTACCCTCTCTCTCTCTTTGGTCGCCTCTCTCTTCTGCTTGTTACTCTCTGCCTCACCTATTGTTCTCTGCTTGCCTCCCTCCAACTCATTACTCTCTCTCCTATCTCTCTCTCTTCTCTC